AAAATTATTTTTTCTTTGTTGAACTTCTATAGGGACTATTATTTAAACGAAAGTATCTTAGAAGGTCAAAACGAAGTCTTTTGCTTCTGAGAAATGTCTTTCTGTATTTTTTTTAACTTTTTCCAAAAGTATATTTATAACAAACCTCACATCTGTTCCTCACTCATTAATTCTGGAATATTGAAATGGCATTTAAGCGAAACACACACATCGCCACACACATATACATTGAACAATGGGTAATATGTATCACCATAACTAATGTCTGAATCTAATTTTCTTGCATACCAGTTTCGGATTAATCTAACCAAAAATTCAGCCAACAATTGAGAATTATGGCAAGATCTGAGACCCAGCAAACAGCCAACACAAAAAGAAAAAAAAAACAAAACTGAAATAAAATAAATATTTATGATGCCAAAACTTGATATAAGTCCACAGACACAAATGTACGCACAGAAAATAACTACATACATACATAGATTAGAATATACAGATTTGTTGAGAAGCCCCCACAATGAGAATGAGACACACAAAAAAAAAGAACTACACACACACGCACACACATTAACATTGCAAACTACAAGGTAAGTTGTTAAGCTTTGACTTTGAGATTTACGTTTATAGTGGGGCCGCAGAACGCCTTCGAACTCCAACTCAGTCTCGGATATTTAGACAAAAGAAACAAGCCAGAGCCAAAAGCAACAGCAACAACAATAACAATTACTACAACGATGACGATGACGACGACAAGAGCATTAGCAAATCCCATATGAAGTAGAATGAAACTATTTTTGTGTGTGTGTGTTTTTTGTACATATTTCTTCTATATTTCTTCATATTTCTCTTATAAGCAAAACAAGCAGTTTTTTTGTAGCAACAGCAGCTGAGATTAGATCAGCCATAACGAGATGATATAATACCACACACACACACAAACACACGCTCACTCACAAACATAGGTAATGCCAAGCAAAGCAAATAAGCCAACAGACATACCGAGAGACAGACACGTGAATATAGTACGAGTATTGATTTAAATTGATATGAAAGTTAATAAGAGAGAAAAAATAAAAATAAAATAATAAGAAAATAAATAAACAAAAATTCCTAAATTGGGGAAATAATGAAGGGGGAACCATTTAATATTTAAATTCGGAATCGATGTACGAAAATGTGTACGTTGTATGTCAGCTGTAATGGTATTATCGACTAATTAAATCAAACTTCGGATTATTTTTGTGGGATTTTTGAAGGCTATGATTTTGGAAGAAGAATACTCAATGCTGTTTTCTATGAAGAGGCCACCTCCTAATCTTCTATGAAAAGACCAACTACTAATTTTCTAGAAGAAGAACAAACACTGATCGTCTAGGAGATGGCTGGTCTTCTATGAGAAGACCAACAACTAATATTCTAGGAAAAGACCAAGACAAGTAGATGGCCTTCTCTTCTCATGAGAAGACCATCTACTGGTCTTCTATAAGAGTGCTATCTTCTATGAGAAGGCCACACACTTGTCTTCTATGAGAAGACCATCTACTGGTCTTCTATGAGACTTGTCCTCTAGGAGAAGATCAACTACTGGTCTACTAGGAGATGGCCAACTGCTGGACCTTCTATAAGAAGGCCAACTACTGGACAAGTTAAAATTATCAGTCGGTATTACCGACAGATATATACCCACAGCCTATTTTCGATTATTTAAATATATTTTGACTAATGTTACGATTATTCAAACGTTTGAGCCTCCGAAGGAATGGGCCAATATTGTCAATTTCGTATCGGACCCAAAAATATGATATAAATATTGTGACGTTCCCGGTATGGATTATATCGATTTACCCCTTCACTTTATATAATAATTTTACATCTTTAGAAAATGTTAAAATATGCGTGATGTTCCAGATAGAGTCTACCGAAATATTCCATTTTTATACTTCATCTAATACAAATATAAAAAGTATTGAGCGAAATATTGGGCAAAAATTACAAGAAAGGATATTTATGTCCAATTTTATGCGAAATAAATTCCGATAATTTTCATATTCATATTAGGCTTCTTATTGAGAGAAATATTTGGGCATAGCAAGTTGAAAAGAATCGCTGAATTGTTTCGCATGTTATGACAGATAGAAGTATTGAAAATTCTGATCTTTTGTGAGTGAGGTACCAGAAGGGATTCGCAGATATATATCATCTGCACAACAGATATTGGGTTAGCAAAGATGTTTGTATGTGTGAAATTTGAAGAGTGTTGAATGCTTATTTCGCTTTCTTTGTTTTTCAAAATCTTATGTGGGGGATCCGTATGTGGGGCAGGTAGCAAAAGAAATGGTCCGATCTCTACCATCTATATAACTGATCTTGTGTTGATGGAAATATTGAGATGTACCAAGTCTTGAATGGAATCGGGTGTTAATATGGCTTTTAATGAGCTTCATGGATATTAACATTTTTGGGCCTATGTGGGGGAGGTACCAGAAGCAGTGGATCCCATCTTCGAGACAAATCTTTTGTTAGTGGAAATAATGAGATGTGTGAAATATAAAGATAACCCCTTGCTTATTTCAGATTTTATAAATGTTTTGGTTATTTCAAACTTTGACCCTTTGTGGGGGACGTAGCAGGAGGAATTGTCCGATCTCTACCGTTTTTTAACAGATCCTGCCTTGATAGAAAAAATCAGATGTGCCCAGTCTAAATGGAATCGGATGTTAATTTCGCGTTTTATGAGGTTCATGGATATTCAAAATTTTGACCTTTTGTGGGGGAGGTACCAAAGGGAGTGGACCGATACATTCCATCTTAACACCAGGTCTAGGGTTAATAAAATTATTGGGATGTGTGAAATTTAAAGACTATCGGACTCTTACATCACATTTTATAAGAGTCGTAATTATTCAAAAATGTGACTCTTTGTGGGGGAGTTATTTGATAGACTGGACCTATATTGTCCGTTTTCGCACCTAACGACGCAAATATTAGGATTTGCAAAGTTGAAGGAAAATCGGATTGTCGTTCCTCTTTATGTGCAGAAAATATATTTTTTGAAAATATCGACCTTTTTTGGGGGAGGTACCAGAAAGGAGTGGACAGATATTGCCCATCGCCGAATTAGATCTAATCTCGACAAAAATATTACGATGTACCAAGTTTGAAACTCCCTTCGGATACTCCCTTCGAGTGCTATCGTACCAACCAGCCACAAAGACAGACGGACGGACGTACGGACGGACATCGCTAGATCAACTCCAAATGTACTGAAACGGATTTGGTCCAAAGAGATCTAGGGTCTGAAACCGTTATTTTGACTAGGCACGTTTTGCCGTATCAAATGATATATACCCTCTCTAAAAAATGATGATTCTTTCTTGAGGAGGGCAATTGATTGGGTGGACCGACATTGTCCACTTTCGCATCTGACCTAGAATTGATGCAAATATTAGGATTCGCAAAGTTGGAGCAAAATTAGATTATTTTTTCACTTTCTGTGCAGAAAATATATTTTTTGATTTTTGAAGATTTCGACCTTTTTTGGGGGAAGGACCCGGAAGGCGTGGGCCGATATTGCCCACCTCCGAACTCGATCTAAGTTTGATATCAATATGACGATGTACTAAGTTTGGACAAACTAGGGTACTTCCTTTGAGAGTTATCGTGCTCACCAGCCAGACAGACGGACGGGCGGACGGACATCGCTAGATCGACTTCAAATGTCCTGAAAGACTACTAGGGCCTAAAGGTTTTCGATGAGGAACGTTCTGACCGTATCAAATGATATATGTCTTCTCTAACCATATGGTTGAGGGTATAATGAATGTTGTCGCATAGTGTATTTTTTTCGATGTTCGGAAGGCTTTATCCCAGGAAATTTTAGATCGTCTTCTGCAAAATTACTGTTTCGAGACCAGTGCTGAACAGAAAGTTTAAAAGATACCTGAAAGAATGGGACGTACACAACTGAATTCGCAAGTCAGAGGATTTCCTCTCCAATTTCAGCTATTTTGTTATTTTTTATACCCTCTACCATACCATGGAGGGTATATAAACTTATACACTACGTTTTCAACTCCACGAATTTTGCAACTTTCTGTGTGTCTGTCTGTTGTAATCACACTATCTTGGGAAAGAATTGAGATTGAAGGTTAACTTTTGTGTTTTGCCAGTAGGCAGGTTAAGTTCGTAAATGGGCCATGTCAATACACGTTTTCACATAGCCTCTATATATCGGTACATCCCAATATTCGGTATTTTTACGATTTTAGCTATATTTTGTACCGAAATTAATTAAAATTCCGTATTTGAAGTTCGTAATAGGTACTACAGTGTATGATAAAAAAATCGCCTATGCATTTCCACCTCTTGCCCCCATATAATGATACCTCCTAATATTCGGTATTTTGATGATTTTAGCGACATTATTAACCGGAATGATGCTAAATTTCATAGTGGAAGTTCGTAGTGGGAACCACAGCCTATGACTAAAAATTGCCTATGCAGGTCCAGGTCTTCGTATAGCCCACAAATAATGATAACTCCCGATATTCGGTATTTTGATGATTTTAGAGTCATTATTTGTCGGAATTGTTTGTTTGTATTTGAAGTTCGCAATCAGTACTTCAGCCTATGATAAACCACTACTTATGAAGGTTTCCTTGGAGAAGTATTTTTCTATGGATTTTTTTTTTAATTTTTTAAGTTCCTTTAAAATGGTGAAGAGTATTAAAAGTTAGACCCGGCCGAACTTAGCTGTTATTTTACTTGTTTAATTTGATGATCGATCTTTTTCGAATACACCTTTTTATGGAATAAAGTCAATTGTTAAACATTGAAAATTATATTCGAAAATAATAGTGACTTATGAAAAATTCCATAATTTATCTGTAATGTATACAACATGTACGTGTATTGGTGTATCTTAATAAATAAACAAAACAAAAATATGCAATTGAGGAAAACTTTTTCCTCGTAACAATCCCCAAATTTGGATAACTTACCTGTAGCAAGAAATGCACAAGACAATCCAAAAACGTGTGGCGGCCAATGAAATTCCTTTTTGCCAAATGTGGAGAAAACTAGTTTATGAACTGCTTTTCAATGGGGAGTTGTTACAGAGTCGGCACAAAAATGCAGCGGAGTAATTTTTTGACCATAAAACTGTTTAAATTGAATTAATAACATAGAGGAGATTTTATTTTCTTTTCCTTTTCTTTTTAAAGTTGTTGTGCAATTTAGAAACTTTTTTTCGTTATCGGTAGATATTTTGCAATTTTTTTGGTGTTTCTTTCTTTTCTCTTCTTTTTTTGCCTACTTAAGTTTAACACTCACGTAATTCGTTTTAAAATAACACAACAATAACAACAGCGCTGAAAACAACATCAAATTTTATTAATCCTCTTTGCTTCTGACCAAAAATAAAACGACAGCAGCAGCAACAACAACAATGCCAATGGTTAAGAAGTAGCCAGGTAAAATAACACAATAACAACAACACTTTGGCGTTTACGGATCGATTGAATGAGCGACGAATAATTACAAAAACAACGGCAGCAACAAAACAAAAAAAACGCATTAAAACAATTTTTTTTTCAAGTTGCCAAGACTTTGAGCAATTCCAATAGACCTTATTTTCTTGGTTGTTATTTCTTCTTCTTCTTTTTCTACTCTCGATACTCCTCTTCACTTTTGTAACTGCTTCTATTTTTGCTCGAATTGTTTCGTCTTCTATGTTATTCACTTGAATACTTTTGATTTTTGTGTGTTATTTTTTAGGCCGATATATATTTTTTTCAGATTCCGAATAATCTTCAATAACAACAGCACGGTTACCAAACACTAACAACAACGCAAATGATCATCAAGACCAATAACGACGATGATGATGACGATGTTGATTATGAGGATGACGGCAACGAAACCTGATTTGTTGTTTTTGCAAATGGAAAACACACTCAAGCAACAACAACACAAATAACAACAACGTCGACGGCCAACTGCATCAAAACACTTCAAACACACAATTGAATACAATTAACGCCTTCGTTCGTTCGCTTGGTTTTATGTTCAACACCGTTTTCGTTATTCCGTAACACGTTCTCGCTCACGTTCAAACCCGACGAGTTAAGATTGCATACTAACTTGGCTTAAAGCGATCTCCACAGTGACTTGTTTAATAACGACACGATTTGTTGGCTTTACTCTTCGCTTTGAGATGATGCCAGCTTGGGTGTGTGCGCGTGTGTGTTAAACTTGGTTTACCAAAAACCGCAATGAGTGGGAGAGTGAGTTGCATGAAGAGAGCGACGATTGGAGAGTGAGAGAATAAAAACAGAGGTGTGCACAGCGATGCCAACTTAGTGCTTTTCGCGCTATTTATGGTGCTTTTTAGACCCCCCAAAACACCAAAATAGTAGGCATAGCGCGAAACGAAAAAAAAAGCACTGTACGTACGCTTTTCATCTTTTCTTTTGGTGCTTTTAGCGGGTTTTAGATTTTAAAATGTGTCAATGTTTATACATTCGAATATTTCGATAGTATGACATCTACTTATCGCAAGTTCTTTACTGCAAATGCTTTACGTGTCTTTCATTCCTGTCATTGAAGTTCTTTTGTTTACATGTAACTCTTTTTTAATAAACTAAAATAAAACGAAGAATTTTGTGTATTATAAACCAATTGAAGGAAAAGTGAAATGAACGAGAAACAAGTTAAAAAGCAGTAAGTTCGACCGGGCCGAACTTTGAATACCCTCCACCATTTGGAACGAATTTGGAAACTTTCAAAAAATAAAATCCTTAAAAATTCTGTATAAATTTTAAAAATACCGAATATAGGCATTGTTTGTCATAAGCCATTACCATATTCAAATTCGAAAACTTGAAATAAACGGTGAATAATGTAGCTAAAATCATCAAAATATCGTTATAGGGAGGTTCCGTTATATCGGACCTGTGCGAAGACCTGGACCAGCATAGACAATTTTCTGTCATAGGCTGAAGCATACATTACGAAGTTGTGATATATGGGGAGGTTGTGATATATGGGGCCTATACGAAAACCTGGAACTGCATAGACAATTTTTGTCACATATTGTAGATCCCATTACGAATTCTAAATACGTAATTTGAAACAATTCCGGTGAATAATGTCGCTAAAATCATCAAAATACCGAATATTCGGGAGGTACCGTTATATGGTGGCTATACGAAGACGTGGACCTACATGGCCCATTCACGAACTTAACCTGCCTACTGAAAATATAAACACGTGTGCAAAATTTTAGTCTTCTATCTTAATTCGTTCAAAAGATAGCGTGATTGCAACAGACAGACAGACGGACATTGGACATGAAGAATATGACATGAGTATTTCGAGGAGTTACAAACGGAATGACAAAGTTAACATACCATCCATAGTATGGTGGAGGGTATAAAAAACGTAAGTTCATACATGGCTGCTTTGTTGTACGAGTTTACAGAACTTCGACTGCATTTGAAGCTATGGGTTTTATGTGTGAACATAATTGTTGTTAATAAAAATGTATGTCTGAAAGTTTTAACCACATGTTAAAACTTCTTAATATATCATATTTTTTTAAAAATATGTATGCACTTCATGCATATGAAATATTTATATAATATACGATCTCAATTTTTGAATAAAACAGCATTTAGTTAAAAATAGTGTTTTATTGACAATTTTGCCATTTTGGTTAGAAAAAAGTACATAGCGCTTTTTACGCTTTTTTAAGGAAAGTTTTTACGCCATTTACGCTTTTCTGGTTTTTAATTACGCTTTTCGCTCTCAAATTGTTGGCAACACTGGGTGTGCATTTGTTGTTTGTTTTGCCCAAATATTGTGGGGATGAGAAGTTGTTGCGGCGCCATTGTGAATGACTGGTTTATTAGCGCTCACTCAAGGCAAGTTTAATTGTGAAGTATGGAGGTGTTTGGAGAATTGTATGCATGTAAAGTTCGTCGTTGGAATTTCGTTTACACCTAAAACTAGGCAATATTATTTGTATAACACATGAATGCAAATGGGTGACAGCATATTGTCGGTGTTATTCTTAGGTCATCAATACGCCATATGAAAAAAAGTTAAACAGTATCAGTCCGTTTTGCCTACAGATATATTTGGGGCCTTGAGTCATGATTATTCGAACTGTTGACCCTCTATGGGGAAGGTTCCGAAGCTGTTGGCCAATGTTGCCCAATGATCTCCTATCATGCAAATCCAACTTAAAACGTCTGGGTGGGAAATTTATTCATTCACAATGTCATTGTCTGGATTTGTTTTTTTTCTTCTTTTAAATTGGTGAGTTTCTATAGTTTGAGATATATTTAGCAACATTTAGGACAAAGCTAAGGTACATACAAGGGCATCGGTCCACCTTTTGATACATCTTCCATATAATGATAACTCCGATTTCAGGTATTTTATACCCTTCACCACATGGTGGTCAGGGTATTATGTCTATGTACATTTGTTTCTAACATGGAAAAGGAAGCAAAATAGACCCACAGTTGCTTTTGAGGATCTTCATAGAATCACTTTCTGAGTCGATTTATGCATGTGCGTCCGTCCGTCCATGTATTCTTGTGAACAAAATGCAGGTCGCATTTATTATCCGTGTGAGATGACATTTTGCAAACAATATTTATTTAGCCCAAGGACGAACCCTACTGAAATTGGTGATAATCGGATCAGATTTAGATATCCGGTCGAATTCAGTCTAGAAGCAAGTAAATCAAATTTGAAAATCAGTTCAGATGTAGCTATAGCTCCCATATGTATGTTTCATCCGATTTGGGGTTTTAAGTCCCTCAAATTCGTAATACACATTCCGGAAAAATGATATTTGGTACCAGACATCTTATAGAGCTCGAAAATACCTCTACCATATTTTATACAGATTTGGATATAGATCTTCTATATATCCTTAATCCAATTTCAAGTTTATTGTGCAAATAATGGCTAATATCAGCCGAAATGGAGTGAATTTCGGGACGTTTCCATTTTGTGGAACTCGGCTCCTATATATATTTTTTTAAAATAATCCTTCTCGAAGTGATATCATACACTCTATAGCAATGTTATTTGGCAAATAAGATTAAAATGTCTCCGTCAAATTTATCGAAAATCGATTCAGAATTGGATATGCCATACCTCTCATTTATTAGTTCAATCTGAAACCAAACTATAACTCTGAAGCCAAATGTTGATAGGTGGTATGATCTACATCAAACAAATTCTTTTGTTATGGGAGCTCCACTAAATATGCATAGTGGTGTAGGGTATCATATAGTCGGCCCCGCCCGACTTTTGACTTTTCCTTACTGGTTAACGTTGTGATCATTTTTCTAAATTCCCGCATTTTTAGTTATGGTCATTTTAATTAGAATCGGAGTAGAACCCTATTGTTTTGGAAGATGTTGGCAAAAAATATAGTGTTTCAAATGGCAAAAATCCAAAAATTATGTAGATTTTGCAGCCACCCTACAGTGGGCCATTAGAAATGAAATATTGAGGTTAGATTTTACGTCAATGCTGAAGCCTAGAGTTTTGGATGGTCACCGGATAATATTTAGCTGGTGAAATGGCATTTGACTTTTTTTTTGAAATACTGATATGATATATCTCATGATGCTAATTCGAAAAGAGGAGCAACTAGGTTCAACAATCATTTTTCACCTTCATTCTAGTCAAAAAGGTTTCTAATCTACAGAAACTTTAACTAAAACTGATCCCAACTGACAAACTGCCTCCTTTTTGCTGCACACAAATTCAGTGGAATTAACTTTTCTCGTTAACCTTCCATTTGTTTTAGTCCTTAAATCTCATTTTCGTAGCTTTGATATGATTTCCTGGCATTGATGTGTACACAAACACACACACAGTCACTCACACATGATTATTTGAATAATAACCAAATAAATTTTGCTAATATTGACATTTCAACTTTATGACAACACCTTTGGTTATGACATTAATGAAGTGTAACAAATATTAATTTATTCGGATAATTTATGACTAATTATGAACGAAGCTTAATGAGCCAGGCCAACTCATATGTGGCACATACTCATAAGTGTGATGGCGTGGCTAAATAATGGAAAAGTGCAAAGGGTCATTACAGTCAGGCATACTAAGTGGATTTACATAAGGATATGTATGTGTGGCAAGGACTACCGGCTACATAAACGTGGATTTTTTAAAGAATATTTTTCAAGGACCATCAGCCACATAAACGTGGATTTTTTAAAGAATATTTTTCAAGGACCATCAGCCACATAAACGTGGATTTTTTAAAGAATATTTTTTCGTGGACCATCAGCCAAATAAACGTGGATTTTTTAAAGAATATTTTTCAAGGACCATCAGCCACATAAACGTGGATTTTTTAAAGAATATTTTTGAAGGGCTATCAGCCACTTAAACGTAGATTTTTAAAGAATATTTTTCAAGGACCATCAGCCACATAAAAGTGGATTTTTTAAAGAATATTTTTCAAGGACCATCAGCCACATAAACGTGGATTTTTTAAAGAATATTTTTCAAGGACCATCAGCCACATAAACGTGGATTTTTTAAAGAATATTTTTCAAGGACCATCAGCCACATTAACGTGGATTTTTTAAAGAATATTTTTCAAGGACCATCAGCCACATAAACGTGGATTTTTTAAAGAATATTTTTCAAGGACCATAAGCCACATAAACGTGGATTTTTTAAAGAATATTTTTCAAGGACCATCAGCCACATAAACGTGGATTTTTTAAAGAATATTTTTCAAGGACCATCAGCCACATAAACGTGGATTTTTTAAAGAATATTTTTCAAGGACCATCAGCCACATAAACGTGGATTTTTTAAAGAATATTTTTCAAGGACCATCAGCCACTAAACGTGGATTTTTAAAGAATATTTTTCAAGGACCATCAGCCACATAAACGTGGATTTTTTAAAGAATATTTTTCAAGGACCATCAGCCACATAAACGTGGATTTTTTAAAGAATATTTTTCAAGGACCATCAGCCACATAAACGTGGATTTTTTAAAGAATATTTTTCAAGGACCATCAGCCACATAAACGTGGATTTTTTAAGAATATTTTCAAGGACCATCGCCACATAA